ACAGGTGGATCCTGCTTGAATTTCAGGCAGGAAATGCAGTGCAGCACAGTCAGTATCAAGCTGACAGCAGGAAAGTCGGCTCTTTCTTCAAAGCAGTAGAGCTGCTTTTACCTGCTCCAAGATCCAAATGTACAAACAGCACAAGACCACAAAAAACCACAAGCATATTACTAGTTCGCTCTGCACTATGGGAATGCACCATATGTTTTCCAAATCTAAGCGTGGCCCAAGTCATCAAACAGTGCACCACAGTACAGCTGGATTTTGCTACAGCTGGCTCCTGCACTCAATTATCAAGCCATTTGCAGCAAATGTAGACCTCGACCTCTTTCTCTCTTCAGTATACATCTAAAAATAAATTCTACATAATATATTTCATATATGCATTAATTTTAATCAATACACAATTATTTTGCAAGTGCAGTCTGAAGTATTTAAGCTCCTTCCTCCCATTTTCAGGCAAAAAACTCTTTTAGTTGGAAGAAAAAATTGTGCTTACGCTCAGGAGATGGCCTCTTCCTTATACTTAATTTTGGGAAAAATAAAAGCACCAAAAAAATGCATTTAGTCCAATGAAAATGTCCTTTCTGATGACTTGAAAAGCAAAATTAAGTTCATTTTCCCCCACTTTCTTTTAAGCAGGTACAGTTCCAAGGCAGATGAAGCTGATCTAAGCCCAGGTTGTCATAGCCCTGTTCTCTCTCACTCTCCAACATCCATTCTTTTTTCTTTAAAGGAATAACAATAACTATTAAATCTTACTTCCCCAGGTAATTAAAAGCACACTGGATTCTATGCTACTACAGCCAGTTACATGCAGCACACAAGCAACTATTCCCTGGTTATCTTAGATCTCCACATGTCAGTACAATGCAGAGAGACTCACGTTTTAAAAAGCCCAGACTTGAGATAAAAACTAATATATAAAATTTTCAATGATGTTTAAAAGAGCAAGTAGAGCTACTATTAGACTCTGACTCATATGGTATCCTCATGGATAGTTCCTCCAAGTTAAAGGAAAAGATTTGTTCCACATTTACATACTTGGCTTGTTTGAGCTTCTGTTGCCTCCGAAATTCCTCTGCTTTCCTAGTTTTTTCTGCATTTTGTTCTTCCACAAGTTTTCTATGAGCCTGTACTCTTTTATCCCTTTTACGAATAAAGGCTACTAGCTGACGGACCAGTTCATTCCTCTCTTTCCTTGCTTTATCTCTTGTTTTCTTGTTCTCCTTTTCCATAGCTCGTTTCTCCCAGCGGTTTGAGGCATGTCGTGTGTCATATTCTTCTTTCCAAGCGAAGTTCTTCTGAGTACAGAAACTCTGCCAATATGCATAGAAAGGGTGGACTACCTGTATGAAAAAAAAAATTTAAACAAGTCACTTGCTTAGAGGGGGGACATAAACCATACCAAGTAATTCAGGACTTTTATAGCAGTTTTGTGTCTTCTACACAGGCCTCAGTTTTTCCCCAGAGTACAAAGAAATCACACGAATGTCTAGAGAAACCTCTAATATCTTCCTTAAAATTTCAAACCATGCCAAATCGATAACCTTGTCTAAACTATTCCAAACGGCAACTTTTAAGAAAATATCCTCTTGCCGGTTTGGATTGCTCTGATGCTACTACCCAGTTACTTAGCTTTGTTATGCTTTTCCTGTCAAACTGAAAAGCATCATCGGACCCAGATACGCTGTCTGCAAGCAGGCATATGCACATACTGCTCAAGAACCACCACACCAAGTTACACCAAAGGTCAGCCGTACATCTCCAACAGCAGCCAATGAGCAACATAAAAAGAGCAATAAAACAACCACAGATACATAATGCTATTTCTTCCCACTATATTCTCTCTGCTTCCAGAGCAAGAACTTGATGGATTTTTCTTTCATGAATTTAATACTTCTTTTATTAACCCATGTAAATATTGAGCTGTGATTCACAGTTTAACAAGGGGCTACCTGAAGATGCACTTACTTCTGTTTTGTAGGCAAATTACATGACTGCAGGTTAAAATTATGACCTCTAACTCTCACATTAAAAGAAACAGTACACAATCTTTCCTATTCTCCTTCCTTTTACCATTCAAAAAAAGAAAAAGTGAGCATTCTGTTTCCAGGACAGCATGAACAAGAGAGGTATCAAAGCATACTGCTGCTAGAATTCCAGCCATTTTTGTGGCTAATAATTGACAGTATAAAAGCTACTTTTGGGTCTATAATCATATCTATCCCATGGTGTCAAAACAAGCAGATTTCAAGCGATGTTTCAAGATAACTCCACGAAAAGACATTTTAGCAGTCTCAGAGACACTAAAGATTCTCTCCCTGGGAAAGATTTCCATGTGTTAAGCCATCCATAATTTTACCTGACATTCAAACACCAATTCTGACACTTCTTAGTCTGATTTGTAACTTTTGTTTCCAACTGCAGCCAAGCCTCGCACCACTGAAGCTACTCATTTCTAAGATATGCATCCATTCAAATTTCATAAATAATTTGACATACAGAACAATTCTACTGAAAGTGACAGGGAGAAGTAGCAGATTAGGAGCAACATTTGAGCACACTGATAATTCATGAGGGAAAGTGCTATTACTTTACTATTTCATTTCAACACAGGAATACTGGTAACCTTAAAAAAGAAACATTAAGTCTGATAGAACAATTGCAGATGCCGAGAGTATCACAGTGGGAGCTCACGTGGCAGGTCAACCACCACATCTCCCATTTTCTATAGGCTGTGTTATACAGTAAGCATCATGTGGTTTTCCTAGTAAGACAGGACACTACATGTAGGTTTCACGGGCATAATTGACGCTTAGCCCTGTGAAATGTTTGTCTGACAACTTATTCCAAAAGCCTGGCTAATAATAAGAGTCCAACAGGAAATACCAATTTTAATTCACCTAAATATTATGAATCAGAACACAAGCTCTTCCTTTACAGTAATGGTCTACAGCAGTCTACAGTAGTAGAAAAGACAGCAGAGACATGATTTTGTATTAATCTCAGAGATCAGCAGGAGCCTTTCCTTTGATTTCAGTGTGGGACAAAGTAATGACTTAACTGTGTTGCTTACAGTTCAGATTTACACTTGCTCTTACCGTGTCATAGTCACTTTGGGAATATCCAAACATAGGGAATTCTTCAGTATCTTCCTGGGTCATATATTCCATCTCTTCTTTTGCAATCTTTTCAAAAACTTGTCGATAGACTGTGAAAAATCCCTGATTTTTTTTTTTAAAAAAAAAGAGGGAAAAAAATTGTGACTCGTTTTGCATGGCTCAATAATATGTACAAATGCTCAGCTATACCAGGGTATTTTAGAGAAATATTACAGTTCTGCAACAGCAACTCAAAATCAGGGTAAAGGCCTTGTAAGCTATTGCTCTAGATAGCAAGACCCTTCTGTTTGTTAACAAAGTTCCCATTCCTTTTATTTCTCTCTCTTTCATGTAGTGTCTGTCTCACACATCAAGCTCTTATATTCAAATCTAAACCAAACAAAGCTTCAGCATGCTGGAGATACTGGTAAGTTTCTGGTTACACAGGACCAAGTTTTGAGGAAGTTCCGAATACAGAATTCATTATTAAGTATCCCATCTCTATCTCTTTACCTTTTAAATAAAGATGTTACTAACACACTCCTACTACAGTAACATAAAGACAGGTAAGAATTTTGTCTGGCAGAGGTTTTTCTAATTACCTGGAGCTTTTTAAGTTATGATAAACGTTTTAAAATCTAACAAAAAATTCAATTATATGACGCACACTTCCCCTAGGCACTGTTATTATACTGTTTTTCTTTAGCTTGAAGCATTCTAGCTTGTTAGAGATACTTCTGAATAGACAGATGGTATTGCAAAGCATTGGAATACATCACGGTATAACATATATAAATAATATACACACACTCTGGAGTTGTGTGGTATAGTTGGAAATCATTACTAAGGAATTGTTGGACAATAAGCAGGAATTAAAGCTTGCCTAAACATCCAGTGTTAAGTTTTGTCTTAGAAAGATTTGTATAAGCATTATTACTACCTGCTCTCAACAATTCCATGCATTGCTTTTCAACACAAAGTAAATGCTCTTTTCAGGCAATTTAAATTGATTCATTAAAGTTGAACTAATTTGTTACCTTTTCATCATCTCCATATCCAGAATAACAGCTAACAGTGAAGTAGTGAAGCAGATCTAAACTATCATCTTGATAGTCTCCATCAACTCCTCCTTTCAGCAGAGCCTCCCTGTGATTATCATACCTGGAAAAAATTCACAACATGAAGGATGTAGCGACACAGAACAATCCCCAGTGCTGTAGGAGACAGCTAGTAGTACATGCATCACCTTGACGTATAGCTTAGCCCAGTGCCTGGAATTTGTCTCTCATATCCAAAATCTTCAGAGAGAAAAAAATTTCTGAACAGGAAGGTAGTGAACGCATTTGACCAAGATGCTTTGATAAGCGTTCAGAAACGGGTAGGACTTTATTTAAATCATCCAACACTTACATATTAAAAAAAAAAAATAATAACACAATAGCACATATGAATTGAAAAACAGCACTTTCCTTTAAAGAAAGGCAAACCACATTCAGCGGTTTGGGCTGCATACTCTCGTAGATGCTTCAGCCCATTTGAAAAACAATTACACAGAACATTTAAAATAGCAGTCTCCTAAAAAGAGAAATCTGCACGTATTCCAAATTAGGACTGCTACAGAAACAAGATGCTAGGCATGTCATTAAGGCCGACCATCCGCAGACACCAACATCATATTAAACACCTGCAGGCACTCAGTGTGGTGCTGGGTCTTCTCTCCTAAAGCAGGAAGGACAGTGACCAGAGGGATCCCAAGCAGAAGCCAACACTGGCGTGTCCCCAGAGCACCCCCAGCGCCCAGCCCAGCACCACCTCCCAAAGCACCGCGAGGAAGGTGCGCATCCCCAGGAGGCTGCACGTTGCGTGGCTCCCAAACCCATTCCGAGCCCGCAGCAACTCGGTGCTGCTGCCACACAGGCCCCTGCTGACCAGCAGCAAGGCTCAGCAAGAAACAGATCTGAAGTCCCCGCCGAGATGGAATTACAAAAGTCTTTTCCGGGCCGGATAAACCAGATAAGCTCTGCTCACCAGGCTCTTTCCTGGGGGTCGCTGAGAACGTCATACGCCGCCTGGATCAGCTTGAACTGCTCTGCTGCTTCCTCCGCGTTC